AAAGTCCGGCTGGGGGGTTGCCCTCATTATCCGAACGACTGACCATTCGGATGTTTTTGAATGCACTTCGTTAACGGCGATGAAATTCGGGGGTAAACTGATGATGATCAGTCGATAAGCGCTTTTCAAATTCTCTTCATTCGAACATGGTAGTTCGGTCTCTCTGCTCTATTTGCCCGAACAACGAGAGCCGTTGAGATGTTTACCTGAGCTAAGCACCGGCGCACGAGCGACGAGTGCTCCTGACCATCGCCACAATCCATCCCGTACATGAAACAATGTTTGACAAAACATCTGATGACAACCCTTGAGAACATATTTTCGAAGCCTTTGTTTGGAAGAAGACTAAAAAAAACTTCGCCTAGGTGCAGCGCCTCCTAAATCCTGTCTCTAACTTTAATGGGGGGCTCATAATAGCATAAAACTGTTAAAGACGAAGTCTGAATAATGTTTGATCCAATTATCTCAGGGAACAGTTTGATCTGTGGCTGCGATCGCTCCGCTTCGAGTTTTCTTAGATTCTCAGCGAGATGGACTTGTTTATTTGGCGAGATTGCTCCAGTGAGGGATTCTTTTTAGCACGGCCGGCGACATCCTTTTTTGGTATTTCGTAGGAAGGGTATAAAGTGAGGGAGGAGGGGAGCATAGCAATACGCCCCGAAAGCCTTTGACTTCAGAAGGTATAACTATAACTATTAGAACAGAAAAGTCGAATATTGGACTGAATTTCTGAGAAGGGAAAAAAGAGACGAGAAGAAGGGAAGTGGATTAGTTGTTCGACGAGAACGATTCTCCATCTCATGTCCTCGAAATGATCGGACCTTCCCCAGTAGTGGCCAATTCTATTGAAACCAGCAGCGAAACAGGCCTAATCCACGGTGTTCCGGGCTTCTCAACATTATGGTCTCCTGAGGCTATAAGCTACTTAAGCCCGCATGATATATATTTGTTCTAAATTTGGTGTTCTCAAGCCCTTCCTTACCACTACGGCAGGAACATGGTTTGGTGAACATACGGGACTCGTGCTGGAGTTTTCCCAAGACCGTACAGGTGTTCATCACGTGTGAGCGCAAATATTCAGGGATAACGGTCGATAGTTTCTCCTCAGTGAATACTGTCGGTCCGAGCTTCTGTGTGCTATGCTCATCCCTGAACAAGCCATATGATCATACAAGTACTTCTGGGACGGGGGTAAAGAATTCACTTTGTAGCATACTACTAATACTATCACACTATCGTACTTTTGTAACGCCAGTAATATCTTTCCCATTCGACTTTAAATCGGGTGGAGGCCGTGTATGGGTATGGAGGTGGTTTGGTAGCACGTGGCGCACTATCACACCCATATGGCCACATGTTCGAATCCCAGATGATATCCGTCAGGGCCTACCGAGGCCATTCGGGTCCATTCAATTGGTTCCGTGTGGGAGGACAAAAGCACTGACTTGTACATCGGCTGGCCACCGCAAGTCATTGTATAGGCCACATACGCATTCAATAGCCCACTGCAATTCTGAAAAAGTCTTATGTGGGAGCGCATCCCTGAGACGGGATTGGTCAATGAACGAATAAATGACCTTGAATTATCTGAATTTGATTCAATCGTAGACCAAAAATGAGAGGAGTCAAAAAGGGTTCTAAATTACTTTCTTTTAGCGGCATGTTCCGGAGGTCCGGCTGTAGCCGCGTGCCTGGGTGGACTTTGCGGGCAAGGATTCTTCTGTACCACTAACAACTTCTGCTGCCGTTGCCAATCAGGAAACACGACAGGTACGAGATATAAATTCTATTTTCATCAATTGAAATTTGAAAAAAAAACTCCCTTTGACTCCTCTTTTCTTTGCAGGACCATGTGTAAATCAGCAATGTCCAGTTGGCTACATGTGCAACACCAATAACTATTGCTGCCCTCTCGGATCTGGTGGAGTCCTAGGTCAGTTGTTGGATCCAGAACTGCAGCACCCGGAGGCTTTCAATTCACTTCCTGAGATTTCGCGAAGGCCCAGACTCACTTGTGCATTTCAGGACCATGTGTGAATGGAGCCTGTCCGACGGGATACACCTGTGGTGCTGGAAACCTTTGCTATCTGACGGCAGGAAAGTAGCGACTGAAATATGCGGATTTTTTTTGAAAATTCGGTCTTTCTTGTTGAGTTCTTGATTTGAAATTAAGTTATATCGTGTTTATTTGAATAATAAAAAAACATCGCGATTTGCTCACGTATTGCCGTCAAGCGTCGCGCGAGTCAGAGAATTGTCTCGAACCTTCGAGACTTCACAGAAGCTCTCCTGTCTGTCGGTCCGTCTGTCTGTCTGTCTGTCACACATGACTTATTTTGCCAACGTATAGATTCTGTCCCTTTGTATATTTATCGTTTTGTTTCGTTGTATGCAGCTGCTTGAATGCCTGTATATTAAATATTAGATATCGAATTGTGCTATCGAAAGGAAAAATTCGGAAAGTAAAAAAAAGTCTGAGAAAAATACCCAATCGCCTGTTCTTCTGGCCTACATGAAACGCAGGCATTCATGCTTTGCTTTGCGGGAATCTGGCAGCGTGAAAGGGAACGCATGGAAATTTGTATACTCAAGTGGGTTTGAAGGGAACTGGCGCAGGAACATGCTAGAGATCGGTGACGTGACCCGAATAGGATGCAGCTCCGGTCGGGTTACACCACTTTTCAGTACCATGCCCAGCTTACAAGTTCTACCTGAGTGTGGATGAATCGGAGGGATCATGAAAGATGTATGCCGTAAAGATGAATACCATTTAGAGGCCTCAGAAGGTCTACCGACTGAGATTGGACCAAAAAGCTGAGTGAGTCATGGAAATCCATTTGAAGGAGCAGGATGCAGAAGATGGAACGATGATCAGCTGCGTACATAGAAGTAGTAGGGCCATCATGTTATATGCTGAATATCTGCTTGTTTTGGTAGTTGCAGAAATAGTAAGGGCAGACAAACATGACAGCATCCCCCAGTCAGAACTCCTATCAGTTAGTGCGCTGTTATCTGTGGGTCTGGGGAGACGGGCGTTAGGAACGATTTTGGGTAATCGATTCGCCGCACGCTGCTGTCGCGGACCACTCATTCGCCGTTATTACAGCTCTAGCGTTCTTCATACAGCTAAATCGATATGGGATCATTATTTTATGCATAATTCTATTATTAGTACTTTTGTTCTTGTATTTCTTACCTACTGCTGCATCCCGCTGCATTCCTTCGCCCGCGACGCCCCTCTCACCGCGACGCGACCATTTCGGTCCTAATGCACCACACCCTAGTCAAGCACTATATATCCCTCTAGAGCATGGTCTAGCCGCACTCTAGACCTTGTGGTAAAAGAAATACTTCAAATGCCGAAAATGCTCGCAATAGTTCTCCATTTTCACACGAGTCCTGTGCTGACAGACTTTGACAAATGTTGATAGAATCGCAACGGGAATACAGAAGAAGACCTACTCTTTCAGAAAACATATGACTCTATAAGGTTAGGTCCTTTTTCGGCCAAAATTTTTCGGACAACCCAATACAATGTGAGGTCATAGTGCTGTGCGACCACAGACCCACGGGTGTGGTGCATTAGGAACGAAATGGTAGCGTCGCGGAGAAAGGGACGAGAGAAAGGGACGAGTTTGCGAAATCCAAACAGAGTGAATTTACCCTCAAAGACTGGCAACTTTCAGGGAGACTATCATCAGTTAAAAAGACTAAATCAAAATGTGAACCGAAGCGAATCGGCACATCACTACTGGAGGAGTAGGACACGGGCTTAGTGTTCCGAAATCAACCATCCATGATCATCTGCAGAAACTTGGTTTTGTAAAGCGCCTTGATGTTTGGATATCTCGCAAAATGAGCGAGCACAATACGATTGACCGCGCCTCCATGTGCGACTCGTTGCTCAAACGAAATAAAAATGGGCTGCTTTTGAAACGCATGAGCACGGAGAATGACGATTGGTTTGTGTGTAACGATAAAGAGCGGAAGCGATCGTGGAGCCTCCCTAGTGTGCCGTCACAAACCGCTGCAAAAGTCAATGTCCAGGTGCGAAAGACCATGCCGAGTTGCTGGTGGAATTGGAGGGAAATCACTCACCATGAGCTGTTGCCGCATAATCAAATGATTACTTCGGAAAGGTACTATGGTTAGCCAGAAAATTTGGAGGCAGCGATAGACCAGAAGCGACCCGAAGTGACCATCGTGAGGGCGTAATCTTCCAACAGGGTACCTCCAGACCAACGTATTTTTGGCCCACTCGTCAAAAATTGCTAAAGCTTGGGTGGGATGTCTCCATACAACCCCCATATGTCTGGGTATAGCACCGTCAGCATACCACTTGCTTAGGTTTCTGCAAAATTCTTCAAATGGAAAATCGTTCAATCCGCTGGAGGACTGCAAAAAGCACCTGAGAGGGTTTTCGATTTTAAGTCTGGAAGCTTCTATGAAAGTGGGAAACTGGAACCTACAGGAAAATGGCGAATCCTTACTGCACAGAATGGAGGATATATTGTTCAATCAATGGATTTCTTCTTCTAGGAATCTCCATTCAAAGATAAATCAAAAATCGGCGGAGACTTTTCGAACAACCCAATGCGTTTTTTGGTAACTTTGATGTTGATATCACTTGGGTATGATTTCTCATTTCTAAATCATTTTTAAGCATTTTGAGCAGCAAGTAGGGACTCTTCTCCTACCCGAGACTCTTTCCAAAATTGGATGACACTACAATGGGTATGATAGTCGAAAAGATGGGATGGCAAGGGGATATATAGCATAGACCTAAAGGCGAATTAGGTAGTCATTAAGTAGGGGGATCTCTAAGAAAACTTGCATATGCTATTATGGTATAAGCCTCAAAAAAACTAGAACACACCGAATCGTCCCATGGAAGCTCCCTGAACCTAAACGGCTTTCCCAACGTTTCATAGACCTTTGATTTAGTCGAAGAAGCTCCTTTTTGCTTGCATTTATATCAAAATTTTCACTCACAATCAGCAATGAGCTTCTCTGTTTTTGGAAATCCTCTCCCCCATAGATTTTCTCCTGAGAGCCCAAATATATGGCAAACGCTTGAGGCCGTGCCTGGCCTGCATGGTGGATGTTCAACCACATCCATTCCCAGCTATCTGATAGAGTGTGGCCAGGCGTACCCTCGTTACTGACTAACAATCGACAAACTACCTGTCCCTGTTGGGTGAAATGTTGGGAGGGTACATAAGTCTTAAGGTATGTCCCACATCTCTGTGACAAATAAATGCACTTTTCTTAGCTGCTCCCGACATTTGAGAAATTATCCTTCCCTGAAAGGAGAGGTTTAGAAGCTTCAACCCTGCTCTGCCTGTTCTAAATCGTCTGGAAGGAATCTAGGGTAAAAGGGTTGTGTTGAATTTAATGCATTGAAGCCTGTAATGCAGAATATGGGAAAGAATTTAGATGACTGATCACTCTATCACAGCCCCGTTTGATTCGCAACATTCGGGGATATTATTATTCAAAATTCATGAGAATTCGATAGCGCCCTTTTTCTTGTAGTGCTCTCTTTTTTCGATAGGCGAACACCCACGTGCAGAATTTCGACGCGCTTCAATATTCCGTCTGTCGAGGTGCAAAAATAAACCAGATTTCTTGTCATCCTTCTCTCTTGTTCGTTCTTTGTCATTCTCATGTTTTCGCCAGCCAAAAATAATGACATTCTGGAGTTTGTTTTGCAGCTGACTTAAAGGGCAAACTTGCTTGCGCAATCGTTTGATCGGCGTAGGCTAAGGACATTCAGAAATGCTCTTCCTATGTTTCTACGTATGCTTTGCTTTTAGGTCCTCCTCCTCATGTTACAAGTACATAAAATTTGATCAAGCATTATCTTCTGATCCGATCAATCATTGCGAACTGAATTTCTGGTTGGCTAATAAATTTAGTCATATTAGTAAAATTACTGTATAATTGTGTATGATTGGAGTGGGTGTGGTGTGTGATTGGGTTCAAAGATGGCTCGTAGCACTCAGCAACCCTTACTCACTAATAGGAATTTCTGGATTCAAAGAGAGGCTCAATTGTTGATGGAGGGAGTTTTGGGTAATGACCATCCAGGGACTGAATCCGATTCGATACTGGCCGAAGCCAATCAAGCTTTCCATCCTTCCGAATACTGGTTACGGGTACTAGATTCGTCCGGGACTATAAAAGCACTGACTTGTACTTCTGGGTCACCTCATATCTTTAAAGGGCTACTTACCCGCCAAAAACTTCACTACGATTCTTAAGGAAAGACGAAAACACGGGACTCGACTGCAAAAACTGGATTGGTTGACGCCTGAAGATTTTATCCTTTCATCTTTCTGCTAATTGGCCCATTTCTCCCTAATCTGCAGTTTTAGATAAAATAAGCTCGCTAGAGCCCATAAAACTGGATAGGTCTTGCTCACGGTCTAGTGCCAAATGGAGAATCATGCAGAGTAAAGCCAGGAGAATACACCGCCCATCAAACAAAAAGGCTCAGCAGAACACTTAGACACCCACCAAGTTTGGTAACCCTTCTCAGTTCCGCAAATGTTCATAATTTAACAACCCTCCCTGATTTCTCCGCCGAAATGAATCAGATCAATCAGTGTCCACTATTCCCTTCAACTTACGGTAGTTCATTCGTTTCTATGTATTACCCTCCATGATTTACGGTATTGTGGTATGATGAAGTTGTTTTCTTTAAATCTTTGAGAACTCTGCACATGAGGCTGAGGTTTTGACGAAGAAACTTTCTCTAAAGCTGTAGATTCATCGAAACCATCGTAAAATACTGTGGGACCATGTTGAATGGGGATGGGATTCATTTAGAATCATGAATGAGATCAGCCCTAATCGAGAAGTGGCCTCCTTCCCAGATGACCTATCATTGTACCCATACTCTTCACAAGCATGGTAACCGATTTGCTCAAGGGCTACCCATATAAAATTCTATCGAGTGACTTTCGAACCATCTATTCACTTCGTCATTGCTTTTGCGGGTTTATTTTTTATTTTTTATCATGACGCTTTTTTTTTTATTTTTTAGTGTTTCCTTTTTTCTTCCCGTATCCCGAATCAGTCCATTGCAGTGCAGTTCTTTTCG